GCATCCTCCTTGTAGCACTTCCTGCAAGGTGCGTTGATGATGGCTCTACTTCCTAAGCTATTAACGTACTCCATATTCAACTGACTATCAGCATAAAACGCGGGAAACAGAGTTGTAAAAAGGACAAAGAAGAGAAAGGATTCCATTTTGATCCTGTGAAATTCAAGGAAAGTAATTAATGGCATTCATGTTATTTATTTCTATATTGCGACGAAAAAAATTTTAAGATGTAAATACTTTTTTTCCTTACCTAAACGAGACGTGGCTTCTGCTTCAGTGCTCTTGATCTTGTGTGCTTCAGACAGTACTGAAAGACTCACACCTTACTGCAATGTTATATATACCTACTCATGAAGCACTTGACTGACTCTGATTGACACACTCCCTTTCACCCCTTGATTTGATCCGGGACGCAAAAGGGTAATAATCATAACACGCCATCTCTGATGCTGGCAAAAAACGTAGTGTTTAAGACTCGAGTTGCTGTTTTTTCAAATAACTAGAAAAGCGATGCTGAGCTGGTAGGGTTTAACGGGGCTTTTTCCACATGCAATACGGCATGTGGTAAAAATAAACACTCTGAAGTGCGATATTTGTGTAAATGCGATTAGCCATGTTGATAAATAATCATAAATCATTGCTAATTTTTGCCGCCAATGCGGGTTTATAATTGGCGGCTAGTTAGAGGAAAACATATCCCGTATTGTCCGTAGTCGTTTTCTTCCAAAGCCGTGAATATAAACCCGTATATTTGGTGACTCATGTTCGCAATATGTTTTGTATAACGATTCTCCTTTCGCGCGGCTCTCTCCTGATCAAACTTCTAGGAGAATATAATCGCGATACTCGTAATTAGTAAAATCATTAAAATGAGAAGTAGAGATGCATATTTATAAGGTTTGACTACTTCAAGAAATTTCTAACTCGATAAACAGAGCAAGCTTTCTTCAGCTGCTCAAATTAAGAGCTTCTTAGAATCCATTACCGCCCCTTGTCAACCTTTAGGAGGCGCGCCTTGCTAATCGAGTTCACATTAATGAGATAGCGAACAACTCCTAGTGACTTTGGTGCAAGTGTAGGCAAAATTAAAACGCGCGGGAAAAGGTTGGTTGAATTCAAGTTAAGCAATCTTTTAAGTATTTGAGTATCCATTGTTTGAAACTGAACTAAATGCGGGTTCAATATAAAGCATTAATTGCACATGTTCAAAGGGACCCTATTATACATAAAATGATTAAAGAAGCAAAACGTTCGCCAAACGTTATTGAAATAGCTGCATGTATTTCCCGAGGGATGAAGGAAATATATGCTTATTGCCGTAGTTCAAAAAGTATTAATCTGCTTTATTGCATACCTAATGATGTTTTCACAACATCTCTAGTGCCGAGATAAAGTGGTGTGGAAATGTTGAGGCACTCAGGCATCTCGTTTTAGTGAGCATGCGCAGATTATAAATTAATGCACTTGTGAGGCACTTGCACTTTTAATGTTTTGGCTCGGAAAAGCCGGAGTGGAAAGATATGTCCACCTCACTGGTCGAAATTTCGATCAATCTCATCCTTTTTGAACCATGCGGCTGATCGGGGTTGAACGCCAGCATATTAAGGTGGGCTTCTGCGGCAACGCTGCTCATTGCCAACGTTGAGTTTGTAAAGAGGGAAAAATTCCTTCTTACGAATTAAAAGTTTATATTTAGATATAGACCTGCTACTAGTTCTTTGTATCTAGAGAGTAACCTAACAAATCTGAGTGCACGATTTTTCTTGTATAAAATAATCATTACTATGGGAATTTCTGTTCGCGCTCTTAAAGCTCTCATATATGTTACAGCATTTTATTTGGTTTGTGTTAACTTTAAACCGTTATAGTTCCAGCGTTATTTTCGCATTTTTTCTCAATTGACACAGTTTTCTTTGTTATCCACAAGGCTTTATTTCTATCATAACCCTCATTATAAATGCGAGGTCAATCTATAGTTATTAACCCGGTTAATAACTATATATAGACCGTTCGCATTTATAATGAGCAACATTTGATAGAAAACCTTCTCAATTAATAAATAAATTACTTTATTACCTCAAACGTCGACAATAAGCCTATACATCCCGAGGGCCGCATGGCTTATTGCCTCCGTTCGCGGTAATTAACTCTTACTTATTATAGTTTGCAATAGACTTCTGTCAATCATTTATGTTGACGCCATTTATACACGTTTGGATCAGTGAGTTGGCTTTTCTATCAAACTTTCTCAGTCAGTATCACGAAGGAAAGTTCCGAAAGCGATTGCAAAGAGTTTGAGTACATCCAGTAGAATGAGGTGTTTGATTGACGGCAGTCTATTGCAAACTACACGACGCGATTTGTGACTGGGGTAGCCGCGTAGTAATGCAAACACGGCGGTAATGAGGACAAAAAAGAAAAAGAAAAAAAGAAAATCACTGGCGTGAAGGAGGTTTGAAGATGTGTTCTTAATTAGCAGAGAATTTGGGCAACTTATGCTTTGAATTTCTCCAAGAATTATTAATAGTTTGAGAAGCATTCCAAGTATAGTACTTGAAAGAGTGTTTCATTCGATTTCCAAACACCTCGAAGTTGTATCAAATTGAGCTGATCYTCGCAGTATATGAATCAACTTATGCAGCTGAAAATTGAAAGAGTCGGGAAAAAATTAGGTTATTTAACCCTAATATACGCCCTCTTTTACACGATTTTTGCCACGTTTCAAACCCTTCCCTTTCTTCCTGAGTAATGATGGCATACAGATGGACTGTTTTATAAATAGCTTGGAAAATATATTAACTAAAGCTACAAACTTTATGTGAAAGTTTCTTATGTTAAAAGATATTAAATGTTGGATTATTTCTTTAATTTATGAATATCACTGGCGCCAAATTCCCCGCCAAGAGCAACTGAAGCGAGGTAGAACTAAGACGTTCCCTCACGTACTAGCGCTAATCGCTGAATAACCATGGTTTTAACCACAGTAAAACTAAATATTAGTATTTTGCAATTGCGCGACTCACACTAATTTCACGTTGCAAGTGCATATTCATAGGATAATTTATTGAATTGGCGATTGTTTGAGCGGTGCAAAATACTGGGCGTGCAGAAACAGAGTTGATATGCCTTCATGATTCATGACATGTCCACAACTTAACAGGGCTCTCTTGAAACTGGCTCTGCTAATGAGACATCCCTGTATAAATATCGTTGAAATAAATAAATAAACTGTCACCGAAAGAGCCCAAGAGATTGGACGCGGAAGGCGAGGCAGACGAACGATGGAGTTTTAGTCACATCACTAAAACTAACCTCGACTATGGATTTGAAGTAATATTTCAAAGCCGACAATGAGGACTGGACGGGATATGAAGTCCAAGCAATTAGTTCCAGTCCGAGGCGAAGCCGAGGATGTCGAGGATTGGAACTAATTTCGTGGACTTGAAATCTTGTCCAGTCCGATATTGGAGGCTTTGAAATGACTTCTCATGCTCATTATTATTCGACTTGGAGTAACTGGAGTTACTACAGACTGAATTCAGTCCTTTCACATGATTTTACCAGGTTTCAAGTAACATCATGTGACCCAAAATTAGCCCATTGATTGGCTGGTTTCCTCATGAATTATTAATGAGTATGAGGAGGTGAATTTCTTTGCAAGTCAATCGTATCGAGGGTTTTTCAGTGCTATTCTCACGACTGATCCCAGGCCTTACGCCACTTGGTTATTTCAGGGTTCGATAAAAGGGTGGTTCGGTCAGTTTTGCAAGCAGTTGTCAGTAAACAGATTGCATTAATTTCAGTTTTGAGCCGTGAAAATGCTTAACGATAGTAAATTCTAGAAATGATTGAAATGAAGAAAGTCTTTGGGAATTTTTATTAATGAAATATTCATTTACAATTCAAAATTTCTTACATTCAAAACTATAAAAACGTTCATAAAAAATGTTAGTACAATAGCGAGGTTCACAGTACGTATCCTAAAGCTATTTCTAACGAATGGTCTAACTGTACTCCTTATGAGAATGGGAACTGATCTGGTGGATCTTTCTTAAGAACCACAACAGCGCAATGGAGGGGATGGCGAAGAAAAGGGAAAGAAAGACATTGCAGTGGTAAAATACTTGAATTGCGCATGCGCCGGATAACCGTGCGACCTTTACAGGTTCAAACCCAAGCTCATTATGTAAATCAATAGTGACGTATCTCATATATGTGTACTAGTAAGACCGATGAAAATAGAGGACCTTATTGGTTGTGTTAATTACGAGTTCTTACATCGAAATAAGAGTTTCCGAATTGCCTGATTTCTCTTAACTTCACTTCATTTCTTGAACGGAATGTTTATCAGTTGAATCGCAAGTTTTCAATGAAAACTTCCAGCGCAAGATAATAATTATATTCAAAAAGACTTTAATCTGCTGATTGAAACCCATCGATGGAGTAAAGAAAAAAAAAGTGATATTGAATAAATTTCTTTGGTAGAAGACGATTAGTCAAACACAATGATACTATAATACATTGCAAATTATACACGTTACTTTATGCTGTTGAGGCATGATTATCACTTCCCGCGTGATCTACAACTGGTTCAGAGATGTCTTTGGCATATCTATTGCGCTTGAAAAAGTTCAACTGAAAAAAAAAAGAAAAAAAAACATGTATTGAAATTGAAGCCATGGTTGGGCTCAGGCAAAACGTCGAAATTCACATGAACCGAACCTAATTAAAATAATGGATACAAAGACGGTCTTCTTTGATGTCATTAGGTTCGGCTCATGTAAAATTCGACGTTTGACCTTAGTCTAATTGATATAGCCAGTCGTTCTAAATTAATAGCGTGCGCAGAATCGTGCAATTACGTGCGTCACGACGAATTAGGGTTTTGGTGGACGTCAATCAAAGCGTTTCCATGACATTGTAGGCGGCAAACACAAAGTTATCAAAGCACATGAATGTCATGAAAACGCCTTGATTGACGTCCACCAAAGAATAACTCGTAATTAATAGAACACTCTTTAGCTTCGTGTGCAAATTGCCCATTCCAGATCACATGACATTCCCTTTAGAATTGTTCTTTTATGACGAACATGTTAAAATATTTACACATGAAAGAATCAACTCCCAAGAGTGCCATCACGTGGTCTGTAACGTGCATAAACAAACAACGAAGCTAAAAGGTCTAAAATAAGTGCAAGTCAGAAAGCTTTATCGAAATGGTGCTCTGTAAGAAATAACGATTTGCCCAAGAAAAACCCAAGAACAACCCAAACACTAAACAAGAAGTAAATAAAAAAAGATACAGGAATCAAACGAGAGCAAGAAAGATAAAGTAAATGAAAGCAGATATTATTAGTCATTCCAAGTTTTTTTGGGGAAAACTGGTTCGAGTTGGCATCGCAGTGCATTGTTGGACTGTTTTAGAGGACGAAATAGCCGCCATCTTGGAAATATGTCCCCTGAAACAGTCCCAAAATGCACTGAAATGCATTGTTTCCTCGATCCTGGAATGGCTAATAGACAGGAACAACCCTTGAAAAAATCTTCTCGGCCTCCCTAATTTTTGTGTCTCTCGTTTCCATTTTTTTGATAACCAGCCACATTCATTTACTTATAGTTCCAGTCGGTCTTTCTCAGTTTTTTCGTGTCGCATCGTACATAACAAACAATTTATTACACTGCTATAGTTGTGTATACAGCCAGTAATTTTACTCGTGAAGCTGTATCTTTTTGGCCTCATTGGGGCTCGAAAAAATACGGCCGCTTTCACTCGTAAAATTATCCGGCTGTGATACACAACTAGCAGTGTAATAACCTCTATTTAAAATCTAGTTTAACTATGTTTTATTAGTAATCATTTTGAATTTCGAATGCAACTGGACTCCTGTGACTCAAGTGATAGTCTGAATTTATTTGATGAGTTGCCTCACAGCCGTTCATTTTGTGACATCGAAAACAGTTTTACAAAATGTGTAATCACGCCCAAAAAGATTTCCGAAAGCAATTTGGTGTATTTGTTTGATCGATAAGTTGATAGGTCAGTGATAACTGGGTAATTAAATAGTTTGGCATTAGTATATGTGTAGGTAGGTAGGTAGGTAGGCAGGGAAGTAGGTAGGTAGGTTAGGTAGGTAGGTAGGCAGGTAGGTAGGGAGGTAGGTAGGGAGGTAGGGAGGTGTGTAGGTAGGTGTGTAAGGAGCTAGTAGGGAGGTAGATAGCTAGGTAGCTAGGTGTGTAGGGAGGTAGGTAGGKAGGGAGGGAGGGAGGTAGGGAGRTAGACCAACCCACCATCAGTATATACATATTTTTTTAAACCAACTCGAAAAAAAAATTCCTGCGATGCCAATGAAACGCGAATGACCTCTAGAGCCGTTTACCAGAGATGAATAAATTTTCCACACCTTTATTAAGAGACCAATGAATCATCTGTCTGCGGGTTGGAAATATCCTTTACTCTCTTTCGCTTAAAAAATCCAAGCTGAACGAAGAGCAGGACAGGAAATGAGTTAAAAAATCATAACAGAATATAGTAATGCAACTATCATACAATCGCTAGTGAAGATGACTGCGATGAGAAGTATACACACGTAGTGAATGCGCCAACGACAACGGAGATGAGGTAAGGTATGTGCCAACAAATGGATATATTAGTGGTATTACGTACTGACTCGAGTAAGATATGACTACGCAACGATGACAGGATTTACGGTATGTGCTAACGAATGGATATAATAGTCATTTAGTATTACGTGATTGACTCGAGAAAGATACGACTATGCAACGAAGACTGGATTTACGGTGTGGACGAACGATTACACAAAATACGGCGTTCACTTCAATATCGAAACTGATAATTTCAAAATGATTTTTCTGCAATACCTAGGGCCGTTCAACTCAGAGGACAAAACAATTAATTTCACGAGTGAAAATAACACCATTGCGATGGCTATTCAAAAATACACGGAAAGAATTGCCTGAAAAAGCCAAAACATACTTCATTGATAATTATATAATAAACAGAATATTACATGTCCGCTTGGAGATAGGAATTTTATCTTCTCGTGTTGAAAATCTCTCACTCGTTCGCTCTTTTCAACACTCGAACATAAAATTCGTATCTCCACGCGCCCATATAATTTCCTCTATTTCTCTTGAAAGTAAGATTCTATTGTTTTGACCTATGAATTGGGCTGCATTGGGAATCCTGCATGCAAGGGGTCCATCCCACTAAAGCTAAGATAAAAGGGAAGAAACCATCCCAGCTCTGGGTTTATTTGAAACTTTTAAAGAAAAAAGTACCTGAAAATACCTAAGTATTACCGACTGACGGTATATCGAACTAAACTACATTGGTTTTCATGAACCCGTGAAACACATTTTAGCTTATGTAGCACTACTTCACTCTAATTCTTTTGTTTTCTATTGTGTTTATCTGACTCTCAAACTTTAATTAGTACACTTTCATGGGCGGATCCAGGATTTTTTTCAAAGGGGGGGGGTTGTAGCATTGATTGAGGTGGTTGAAAGATATAGCAGACCAAAGGGTTAGGGAGTCGATTATTTGCTGCTGGCGAGCATGGTTGTTTCAGGTCCCACACACGAAGTATAGAAAAAAAAGCGAGCGAAATGTGTTCGACACCCCTGTTTTAATAAAACTCGCGATGCTGTTGGTGTTGTCATGAAAAAAAAATTAAATAAATAATAATAATAATAATAATAATAATAATAATAAATCACGATGACTCTCATAGGGGGGGTTGCAACACCCAAAACCCACCCCTAGATCAGCCACTAACTTTGTTTCACGGGTTTATGAAAACCGCTCTAAATGTCTAAAACAAACACCTATGTTAAAAAAATCCCTAATAGACACTTTTAGAGGTAAGTACATGGGTTAAGAAATCGTACTAGTTACTAAATTAGAATGAAGGTACATCCGTCAAACTAAATCATGTCAATGATAATTAGCTCATTTATCAGTATTCATATCCGATTATAATCCTAGGAATAATAGCTTCGTTACTCCAGCTTAAGTCTTAAATTAGCTGTTAGATTTGCTCTTTTTATTGATGGTAAAAAGAGCAATAGTTTATTCCTTGAAGTTTCTGCATTATGCTCTATGAAGTCATGAAAAAAAAAAAAAAAAAAAAAAAAAAAAAAAAAAAAAAAAAAAAAAAAAAANAAAGAAAAAACAAAAACAAAATAACAAAAAGGAGAGAAGGAAAGTCCTAAGGACACAAGGCCTGTTAAATTAGAGAATGTACCAATGTTCACTTCTGTGGTGATAATTAATGGTAATTAATGGTAAGAAAGAAGCAATTAATGTCTCCCTACCTTGTACATGATTCCTACAGCTATGGCCAGCAAGAGAACACCTCCCAAGGCAGCCAGGAAATACACCCACCATGGGGTTTTTTGCTTTGCTTGACCAGTGGATACTGGACTTGCATTGATTATGATCTGAAGAGAATTAGAAATGCCGTATATAAATAACGATGATGGTGTTGAAGACTCTAAGGGAACATGTTCGCGCATGCGTGCGTTTCAGCCGCACGTTTTCCACTCCAAAAGAAAAAAGGATACTTTTGTCAGAATGCAAGATACACTCAATTGAAGAATCGTTGTCGGGTTCAGAAACATAGAACATAAAAGCTGAGACCGAAATGGCACATGGGAAATGACATAATTATATTATAATTTATTCATTTGCGCCATTCATGCAGTCGGTTTAGAATGCCAAACGCGTATTAAAAACAGTGGATGATGCCAAGGGTCGCCGGTCACAGCATGCATCTGATTAACGTACTTCCCATGTGCCATTTCGGTCTCAGCTTCTATGTTCTATGTTTCTGAACCCGACAACGATTCTTCAATTGAGTGTATACTGTTAATAAAGATCATACAACGCACAACGATAAAGATGCACTTGCAGCGACGCAGGCCACTATCTTGGCAACTGAGAAAAGTATACACACATACACAAAACAAACAAAAAAGCGAAACAAAAAAACAGAACGACTCTCTATTTGTATACTCGACGTTTGTGTCGCGAGACAAATCTCCCCTCGAAGTTTCACACTATCACTTCCCTCACGAAACTCAGTTTCTAGTAAACGGCATGGAAATGTAAGCATTATTTACTATTCCTTTTTATTTTATTTAAGACAAACATATTAAACATATTTTCTATAAACATTAATCCCAAAACCAAAAAATAACGAAAGCCGTAAAAATGTCGAAATGAGGACTTTTGTTTCGTACGTGCAACCAAAACATTTTTGTTAAGTTTTCCGTTTAAGATATATTCTTATATATTTAATTCTCAAGAGAACTCTAGTCGTAATAAATTTTATCATTAAATACTGTAGAACCAAATGTTTAGTCCAGTTCTTATGGTTATCTTAGTTCCATCCTCATGATCACCATTCTTCAAACAAAAGACTAAAAATATCTAAGATTTGAAGAACATTCAAGCTAATTTTCAATGCCCAATCACAGGCAGTGCAACATGGTGAACTTAACAAAAGACCTTTTTACCGATACGGTGGCCACCTTGAATTATAATGAGTAGCCCCGCCACTCTATGCTTTATAAATTTTCTACGAGTTTGCCCCCTAAGCATTCCTTAATTCAAGATGGCTGCCGTATCAGTAAAAAGTTTATTTCTCGTTAAAATCTGAACTTTGCAGAAGCCCACCTAATTGAGGCATTGTTTGGTCAACCCCTCGTATTCAAGTGCTTCAGAAAAAAATTCTTATGAGAATAAACATGTCTACCGCGTGAGTAAGGCCCATATTTCCACCTGGCTTTTTCCATTAGGGAAGAGCAAAATCATTAAAAATGACGTAATAATAAACTACGCATGCTCACTAAAACGCTCACCATTTTCTCTTAGAATTGGCCGTGCTGTGAAAACCTCATTAAATATACAATAAGGCCCCGAATGTCGGCCATTATATAGCTAATTATAGCAATAAAACTAACGACTCCCTCGATTCACCTCTTCCTTACTGCGGTTTCCGACATTTTGCGAAATCGGCAGTCCGTCGCTGCCGTCAATCAAAAATAATCAGTCGGTACCTTTTATGTTCTTGACTGGTGGCAGTGATAAACCAATTTCACAATAAGTTGGTTGAAATGTCTGAGTTCGCAGAATATGGAAAACGGCAGTAATTACAAACTAGTCATTATCTTTTCTCAAGAAGCGTGAGAAACTAGAGAATGACTCGCTAACGGCTTGTGTTAATTATCATACTTGTTTCGCGCTTTTGTCACTTCTTGTGTGCCGTACTACTGCATTTCTAACGGAATACAAGGGGTACAAGGCCACTAGACCAGTAAGACTTTTTGATTGCACTAGAGTAAAGCACCTATTTTTTAAGTTTGGTTAGGTTTATATAAGGGTTTGGAAGACTGACCAACCAATTGTCATTACTGTATAAAGCAGTGTATTGTTTGTTCCTAAAGTGTCCTAAAATTAAATCCTAAAAACGGCTTAAAATAAAATTATTCATAAAGGCAACCATATGAAATAAGAACTCAGAGAAAAATCTGTGCTTCAAATGATGATGATCATGATGTTGATTCAAAATCATAAAACTTGTGGCAAAATATTAAAGAAAACCCCACTTTCTTCGTTCTAGTCCAGTTACAGGCAGCTTCAAGAGAGCATAAATAATTATACTCTCTTGTAAGCTTATAATTACAGTTTATTTCAATAGAGTTCGTCGGTAGGTATAATAGCGTTTGTACTAAACACAGTATCATAGCTTGATTAGGATGCCAGCCCATTCTAAATGTTGCTATAAGAGATATTTATCAAAACATCCTATCAAGACAAATTCCTTCCAACTTTTGCTAAGAGATACTAATCCCCCAATCAAGATAAATTCACTCTATTGTAAACTAAGTTCCCCTTATAAGATATCTACTTGCAGTTGGCTTTTCAGTGCTTGCTGGGTTAGTGGATCATCAAATTTGCAAGGTAAGTCCTTCGACGAGGAATAAGAAACTATTGGACTACTTTTAAGTAGTCAATATAAAATAATATATTAAATATGAATATCTATTTAAAAATATATTTCTAGAAGTCCTACATCTCTAAAGCTTTGGAAGTTTTCATTATCGTTAACATTTTTCGGATCCTTTTGCATTACCTTTCCGCTCAATTTAAAGCTTTTTTTCGTCCCGTACCGTGTAAAAGCAGCCTCAGGAAATAACGACAAAAAACTCACGTCTACAATTTTGCAAATAATTTTAGAGAAAATGAAACCAATTACATTATCGAAGATAAAAATTTAGACTTTTTGAGCACAAACCGCGTGTTTGGTGTGCGTGTGTGCTGTGTGTTAGGCGGTGTTTTACATAGTACCGGGCGAATCTTTAACCGGTCAAACATTTGACCTGGACATACCGTTTACCGTCTCTTTGAATGTATAACAAATACGTTATGTCTACACGGACCAGATCCAAATTTGAACGGCTAGATAAGTTTTTTTTTGTTCGAGTATCTCAGTCCCGTGTGAACGGGACGCCTTAAAGTGCAAATGAACCCTTCGACAATACTTTCAGTACTGATTCTACATGAAGTAAATAGTTGAATGGTAAAATATTTCTTGATTTGAGTGATGCGTTTCTAAGTTATGAAGGTTTATACTTCCAATATGCTAATGATGTGACGTCTATTAAGGCTTAATCAAATATACAAAATCGAACTGGTTCATAGAAACAGTATTTAAAAAGCATCATTATTTTACTCATGGTTTACATGAAAGCTATTTACAATTTTTATTTTCAAAATGGCCAGCATTTAGTATTACTAGTTACAACAAAAACACCCAAATACCTTACCTGACGTCATCATCATTAACATATTGGAAGTATAAACCTTCATAACTTAGAGACGCATCACTCAAATCAAGAAATATTTTACCAATCAACTATTTACTTTATGCAGAACCAGTACTGAATATATTGTCAAAGGGTTCATTTGCACTTTAAGGTTAATGGAGACCTTCAGGGGTATGTTTCTTTTAAACTTTCTCTACGCAACACGTTAAACAAAACCCCATAAAACTATTTATTACATAATTACCTATGAAATATCTATTTTTCTCTATTTCGAAGAATTGGTATCTTCACACGTGAAAATAACATGTTATTTTCACGTGTGAAGATAACACCATTGCGATGGCTATTCAAAAATATACGGAAAGAATTGCCTGAAAAAGTCAAAACATACTTCATTGATAATTATATAATAAACAGAATATTACATGCCCGCTTGGAGATAGGAATTCGATCTTCTCGTGTTGAAAATCTCTCACTCGTTCGCTCTTTTCAACACTCGAAGATAAAATTCGTATCTCCGCGCGCCCATGTAATATCCTCTATATATCGTTTTAAAGGTCATATGATAAAGATTTCGAATGTAATATTATTTGAAAGTGGTTTTCTAATTTGAAACAATGCCGAGCCTTAAACACAGATCGGGCACGTTACGCAGAGCCGTGAATTAATGGTAGTAGCGTTAGTGCGTGTAGCCAAAAGAACCTCACTATGTGAATATGCGAAAGATAATCTACAAAATGGTGTGAGCGAGTTTTGATATTTTGAGTATTTCGTCTTTTTGCGGTAAAACATTAACAGGCATTGAAATTTTTCGACGTTCCAACTTTAAAATTCAATAACTTTTTAAAGAAGCAAAATAACTAAAATCGCTCACACCCTTTTGTAGATTATCTTTAGCTTATTCATAGTTAAATTCTTTTGGCTATACGCGATTTGTGTTTAAGGTTCTGGCATTGTTTCAAATTAGAAAATTGATCACTTAGAAATAATATTATTTTTGAAATCTTTATCATATGACATTTAAAACGATATATAGCTTTATGGGGTTTTGTTGAACGCGTTGCGTAGAGAGAGTCTTAAACCAAACATACCCCCTGAAGGTCTTTCGTAACCTTAACGTACAACTTTCTGACCGGTTAAGAATTCGTCCGGTACCGTGTAAACGCAGCATTAGGCGCTTGCGAAAACCATTTTGGATCTACTTTATTAATTTGGTATCACAGATTTTGAGGATTAAAACGAACAATAGTAAAATTAGGCCTATTTTTTATGAATCTGAATACACTAATGAAGTAATTACGCTGCAATATCTACTGTTGCTAGAATTAGTCTGCACTCGACACAGAATGATCGACCTCTTTGCCTCAATATAATATTTACCATTTCATACCATGGCGTTATTTTTCTAAGAATAAGCTTCTTTGTTTGATACTATAATCTATTTACTGATCCATATTTATATTCTTCTTATGAACAACTGTTAAACAAAGAAATGATACTCCAGGGAATGACACCTGGTATGAAATGGGGAAACATTACGTCCAAAATTACGTACAGTTAAAAAGGAGCGTCGTAAAAAGATTATATTTTGATATGCCATTGGGGTGATCAGTAAAAGACATATTGAACAATAGAAGGCTTTGAAACTGATCTAAAAATGTTCTTAAAACGTTCAAAAATTAAATTTCGGTTACCCCTGTAATGTTCATCGTAACCTTCATCAATTTTGATTTGTCTTTCTGGTTTGTTTTAGGAACACAGTCAAAATGAATGCAGCTATTGGAGTGAGCCTTTTGCTGTTGGTGGTAGTCACTAATGGTATGTTACAACCCATCAGGGGAAAAATAGACTGAATTGCACGACATTCACAATAAGCCGATCCGAGGAATAATTCGACAGCGAATGCATAACGATTACAGATCGGATGCATCTTGGTGTAACTGGAAAGAAACCCGGTCAGGTTGTAATGGCTGCTTTTTAATCACTCCCAAGAGAATGAAATAACAAAACACTGGCCATGTTGCATGATTTGACAAGAGACTAATATATATAATGATGAATACTTCGTTAAATTCATTCAACATGGCGGCTGTGAAAACCGTCAATATCGCTAAACTCAATCAAAAACCAAATTAGCCTCATATCTGTGCGTCTTTTCTTTACACGAAAAATTGTTCATTTGCACACTCACTCTATCAATTCAAAAAAAAACCCATCAAGTTTAATGGAATCCTGTAAAAACCTCTAAGTTGATCTATCATGGAACAATTTGGAACTTAGCGCGTCAGGTTTTGAGGAGGGAGGAATTAAAAGCGGAGAACCCGGAAAAAAAACCCTCAAATCAATGTAGAGACCTTAAAAAGAACGGTACTTTTATGTGATGTTGAGTTCGGGAATCAAACCCGAGACCCAAGAGGTGAGAGGCGAGTGCATTAACGCTACCATGCCCTTGATTTCGTATCACTCTCGACCCGATAGAACGGTCAGTTGTGGATGCTRCACTTCAAACTCTCTCGGTGGGTTGGTTGACATTGATATAAGTAACGTATTCTTTATTTCTTATCGTTAAACGCAGGTAAAGTTTTACAATTCCGTCGTGGCGAAAGGAACCCACAATGCAATATTGTTCCAATATTTCGCGAAAAGTGCGGAGAAGACGGCATAAGCAAAGAAGGTTGTACAGCATTGGATTGCTGCTACGGATTTGCTTCCCTTCCTAGAATACCCAGATGTTTTAACAAGAAAGCAGGTACACAGACTTGGGAGTACCTGACTTAATAGAAACGGGAAAATGTGCATGTAGAAAGGGGGAAGAATTGTGGGAGGAGAAACCAAAAAGTTTTAGAAACCTTAAACAACCTTTGGGCTGATCTATGTCAGGGCACAGCATACTTACGGATCGCGGAATTCTGAAACAACCTCTGGGCTGATGTATGTTAGGGCATAGCTACCTCAACGATCAAAATAAATTTAGCGTGTTATTTAGGTTGTGTGGAGAGAAGTAAATCAGCCAGAGGTTGTTTCAGAGTTGACTCTGATCAACCCAGAGATTGTATCAGGGTATTACTACAGTTTGAAGACTGATTTTCTCAAGAACCATTTCACTTGTATTTTCCTATTTGTATTGCTAGGAGTACCAGTCGGTCCTCCTGGTGGCTCTACTGGGCCTAAGCCGCCAAAGATGCAATGTAATGTCATCCCTCCTCTTCGAGCAAGATGTGCAGATGACAACATATCTAAAGAGGATTGCCTGAAAAAGGATTGTTGTTACGGATTCGATACTCTGCCTAGAATCCCCAGGTGCTATCAGCAAGGATAAGGTACGTAGGTCAAGGTATAGACCTCTTGCATGCGACGTCAAAGCAGCTTGATCTTGCGGACAAAACAAAAGAATTTCAATTTCCTGAGATTTGGAACATATTGTTTTTTCCCCCAGATTGAGTTGCATTCCAAAGTTCTGCAAGGGGTCTATAAAACCTGCTCTAAAAACGACTACGTTGAATCAATATTTCGCATCCACTACGCTTATAATTCTATTTCATTGCCAAGTTTAAAAAAAAATAAAAACTAGAGGTTAACTCTTAGGCATATTAGTCAAGACTACTACTGCATCAGTTTTAGGAGTTTCAAATAGTCTAAAATTAGCCGGTAGATTAGTACGAGGTTTACATAGCACTAATATGCTTTACGAACGAAACTTTTTGCAATTTTAAATGAGGTTTGAATTGTTAGCACTACATTGACTTCTCGACACGCTAAGTCGACAAGTAAATTAATAACTGTTGATATATTTCTTCCACAGATAAATGACGAGTCGGGAAACACCAAAACACAAGGATGGGTTACATACTTACAGATGTAAAACTGATCTTAACATCCTAAAATGGGTAAATTAAAATGCTAAGGACGATGAACAAATCAGTGGAAGTAATTTTCTTAACATTTACGAAAAAGATCCACACACCCTGGCCTGATCTAAGTCAGGGCATGGCTAACTCACAGATCGAACCCTGATACAACCTCTGGCCTGATCTAAGTCAGGGCACGGCTGACTTACAGATTGAACCCTGATACAACCTCTGGCCTGATCTAAGTCAGGGCACGGCTGACTCACAGATTGAACCCTGAAACAACCTCTGGCCTGATCCAAGACATAGCTTGGTAAGATGTCAGCGTTCTTTCACTACGCCATTTCTAACTATTTTTAAATACACTTTCATATACTTGTGAACCGATGCTATGACAGAGAATGCATTACCGACTGTTTTCAAGACCAAACATCCTTGAACTTGATATCAAAATACAAATAATCCCAAAGCATAGAATGTCTCGACTCACCTTGACATAGTCGTTCTCCGTATTTGGTTGAGTGTAGCGCTTGTCCGGTATCGATACGGTAGCAACGGTTTCTATTTTAACTGAACCAGGGTTTTTCTAAAGAAGCAAACGATAAAAAACAAATTGACATCTTTACATTCGGCGTAATATTTTTTTCAATTTCAGACCACGTGTTATTCTCTTGGGAATAAGATTCTTTGTTTGCGTTGTATATACTATATCCATGTGTCTTCTCATGCGCAACGTTAAACAAAGAAATGATACTCTAGGAAATGACACATGGTCTGAAATGGGAAAACATTACGCCCAAAACGTGTTTAGGTACGGGCTGCATTGAGTTTAGTATAAAATAAGTAGGAGACAACTCGCGCTCTGAATGGCTTAGCAACGTGTAGCGCATTTTTATCTGGTCCCACCACGATCGATACGCACGCGGCAAATACGAGCCGAGTAGCGCAAAGACACTGGTAATAATTGTGCTTTATTTTTAAGGCTTTACTTTTGTTCAATTCACGCGCGGCAATTTATAGTGATTGAGAAAAGTCGGACCAGTTCTTGACTAGGCAGCGTGGTTTTGCTTTATTTGCCCCAACAACATCTGTCCTAGAATGGAAGTTCGATTATATTATTATTCAAAATCATATCGTTATGACCTTTCGCTGATTGTATTATCGCCCATAATGCTTTTGAGGCTTGGTATGCAACATGTAACATGCAAGGAAACCTTCAACAACCTTTTTGAATATTTGCTGTATATTTTCTAAGAGCAAAGCCTATGGAATCTCTACTGCAGTAACTGCTTACCCTGATCAGAGTACTTTGCCAAAGTCGTGATCTTATCGTGACTTCTGCTTTCTCCCCAGGAAGTAATAAACCTAATTGGCATTTGAATCGTTTACAAGTAGTGCGTCGGCAATCCTACGAAAACACAAAACAAAAAGCCTTGAATAAAGCATATCTTGTGTGCAGAAAGCAATCTTCTTGCTTGGATGGACATGTTTGTCCAATCCCAAAGGTAGCCAGCCAAAGAAAGCAGGGGTGTAACCAGGGATCTTGCAGGGGAGGTGCACAGGCAATGATTTGCAGAACCCAAAAAAAAAAGGTAACCAAAAATAAAAAATAGCAGAATCAAAAAAAAGCCCCCTGGTTACGGCCCTGGAAAGAAACAAAAAACTTCAAAGAAAGCCGGAGAGAACCCAGTCCCCAAAGCCTGCGCTACTGCCAGCCAGCGGAAGCCAAAGCGCGAAAGGCTCTGGAGCAATCCAAAACCAGAAACAATATTTTTTTGTTTCCGGTTTTACGGGGGGATCATTCTTGCCGGGATTCAGTTGGGATCCCTCTGTAGTACAGAAATAGCCGTTTATTGATACACTTCAAGTTTTGCTCTTAAAATCTATCCTTAGAAGTCAGTCTTTTAAGTCTTATAGTTTAGTTTTTGTTTTGAAACGTTTTTTCCTGTGAAAAAGCCTAGACATAGCTCTAGGAACGAGAATGCGCCAGCAAAGAAGGCAAAAAAAAAACCAACAATTCTTTCTACTCATACAAAGCCAGCTCAGGATGACTCACCAGATAAGTAACATCACGTCTTTTTCGTCTTGATTCTTTTGATTCACTCGTGATATTTCCAACCTGCGATGAAAATACTCAGTGATTATTGAAGAAAATGGCAAGAAAGAGGATAATCGTTATAGTTTGATTTACACTTGAATCAGCACTTATATAGTGAATATATTAATTAGGCCCGTGTGGGTGAACAGAGGATAATAATATTGTAACTAACTACTAGTTGATTACTTTTATTAGCAGAAATTTTGAATACAAAACAAAACACAAAAAAATGTATGAAGTGCTGTTTATTCTTGAGTAGATGACGTCACAGACTCCTTTTGAAATTCCCAAAAATATAAAACTTCCCATCGGAATATCAAGAAAAACATTACTAGTAACCAGTGATTATCAACCCCTTAAGGATTCCAGTAAAATTTTCAGCTAAATTATCGAACGATCCTTCGTAATAGTCCCCTTTTGGAGACGTCATAATAGTCCCTTTCACAGTTCCCTGCGCCATCTTGAAAGGTAGCCGTGCCTTTGCATCGAAGCGAGACGAACGGTGAGCTTGCAATGATAGAAACCTTTTTAAACACCTTGAACAATTGTTCTCACATGTCTCTATCATTGCAAGCTCACCGTTCGTCTCGCTTCGATGCAAAGGCACGGTACCTTTCAAGATGGCGCAGGGATCTGTGAAGGGGACTTTCCTATTTTAGAAACGTGATAACATCCTTACATACCGGTATATTTTCGGGATTCAATACTCCTTTTGTGATGCAGCTCCCACTTGCCCCAGTCAGCTGTTGGAAAAAAGCGAAATATTTCAAAATTCTGTCGTTTTGATAATAGTAACATAGAATGATCTTATCTACACTAACATCAAAACTAAAACTCAGATCAGTTTGGAGCTCTTTAGCTTGGGCGTAAACGTTCCTCTAAGCTAGACCATGTCAGCTAGACCAAGATTCATTCTTTTGACTTGTGGTCTGAAATCGACCCCGTGCTGCACGTCGGAATGTAGCTCAATTTGGAGGACATAACAATAGGTTTCCAATTCTCCAGAGATTTAAATATTTTTGCTTTGTCCTCCAAATTGAGCTGCATTGAAGTCACATACGAGGGGTATATAGGAAAATAACGTGCAAGCTAAAGAGGTCTATACCACCACCATTGTTGTAGCATTACCTATACTATGACAACACGAACAAAAACAAATTTGTGACGTACCTCCACTTGCAGCATGTATAATAAATAGCCCTTGGCGTCGCCCAGAGATTGACTTGGAACATTTATGGTGATTTCCGAACCGTCTACTTTACTTGGCCCATTGTTTTGTACCTAATTAACACAGAATGCATGTTCATCAGTATCTGTACCGGAGCGCAAAATTGTTGTTTTTATTTTAGGTTGGTGATTCTTTTTAGCTACTTGTACGTACGATGATAGTTTGTGCAATCTTTGGCCCGATGTCTCTCTGGGTCTTGATCTCGGATCTTTCCTTAGCCTTGCCTTCGTATATCACTTCATCAGGAACCGATGAACTAAAATCAAGGTTGAAATAAAACTAAGGAATACTACTTGAAGATGAATTAAGAATAAGTCGTAAATGAAAATACAAGAATGCTTTTTAACACCACTATTTGTCGATAATATAGGAGTTATGCGAAAAAGACGACAGCAACAACAAAGACAACATCAACAAAAACGACAACAACATAAGATAAGGCAGGCAGGCAGGCAGGCAGGCAGGCAGGCAGGCAGGCAGGCAGGCAGGCAGGCAGGCATTGCACGTGCAATATCATTATAAAACATACCCCACGACTTCCAAGTCAGCCTCGAACTTGACCCCCACTTTAAGTTTGACTTCATTGTCTTTTTTATTCAAATCTTCATTGGCACTATAAATAATGGATGGATGAATACATAAGGCAATAGAGTAGAATCAAGATGACTGGTTTAAACATGTGTCATGGGCAATCAATATGCATAAAATAGACCAAGAGGACTTAACTAGATAGCCAACGTGTTGCATTCTGGACTACTTTGGGTATAAACAGCTCAAGTTCACTATGTCCATCTCGGTACAGTTTACACCAAAGCTATACACTAGAAAACGACCACCCGTTCTTGGAAAAGTCGTATTTAGGGTCAATTGCAAGGGATTTGATCAGCTTCCCCCCCTGACAACCATGTGCTGTCAGCCAGAAAGAATTCTATTGAAAAATTGCGATCAGCTGATGAACATTCTACAGGAGGCAGGAAATGAAATCAAATGAAACCCAGCAAAATAACGAATTACCTTTTTGCCGTTATGGTGATGTAGAAATCATTTACTAGTTCTGTCGTCCCAAATTTAATGCCAAACGTTTTCTATAAATAAAAAAAGATAAAAACGAAAATAAATACTCCAGTATCGAGTTCTCTGTTGCTTAGGGTCGCTAGCCTCTATTTTGTGCAGAATATTCATGCGTTCCAGTGAAGGTCCGTGGAATTTCAAAGTGCTTGTATTGTTGAAGTTGTGCATTTTTTAATTTACCGTTGGTATTTGTGAATATTGTGACATTAAGATGAGGCTAGCCCTGAGAAAATGAGTCTGTCATCAAGCGGTAATTTGGAACTTGAAAATGGTATTTGGAGAGTGTGCAACCATTTGACTCAAAATCCCTTGAGATATGAATAACAATGAAACAGCGGCCATCTTGGTTGATCTAACAAGAGAAGTTAATGAAGAATGCTTTGCTATCGTCAACCAAGATGGCGGCAATGACGTAACATGCACCTGCTCTATTGGTTGGTACCTACATTGGAGTTCCCCTTGAGTGGATTACCAACAGTACAAGTGGCTGTTTCGGTCCCGTTCCTGGTAGCAGAAGTAGTACACCGGACAAGCTGTTTGGAATACAGAAAAAAATTAATCAACCAAAAGAGGCTTTGCACCACCACGTGACGGCAGCTATGTTAGATGGCAGGAATAATACAATCGTCTTACGTGAGAAATAATTCACTTCCCGGGCCCAGGGGGTGTACTCGGGTGGGTAACATGACGGGGGGGTCCGACGAAGCTTCATATTGCAACCCCGAAAAAAATACTCAAACCTGAAACTTTACACCCAAAAAAGTACATGGCATCAGTATGTTTCTTTACGGAACCCACTCACACCTTGCTGAAAAAATAATAATAAACAATTTTCTGATACAAAAATCGAACTCGGAGATCTGACGACCCAAAAAAATACGGGTTTCATTTCGAGACCTAAAAAAATACGTGGCTGGTCTCTTGACCCAAAAAAATACCGGGAACGAAAATTGTCAACCCAAAAAAATACGTCGGACCTCCCCGTCATGTTACCCACCCGAGTACACCCCCTGGGTTCCCAGGCGCTGGCACGTGATGATGCAAAGCCTCTATTGAGCACTCATCCACCTTTTTACTAATCAACCCAACCTCATCCAACCCAGCTTACATCGATATACAACAACGGAATCCAGCAAAATACTTCAAAAAAATGGACTATATGAACATGGACTAATTTAACGATGCAGTCCCCTGCTCGTTTTGTTACCAGCAAATATCTCTGGGTCTGGGAATGGCTCTCTTTCAAGTTACTACAAACACTACAAACTACCTTCATATATAATCTATCTTTTCGCATTGCTTCTATTTCTGCCAATCTTAATCAATAGTCCCCTTCACAGTTCCCTGCGCCATCTTGAAAGGTAGCCGTGCCTTTGCATTGAAGTGAGAAGAACAGTGAGCTTGCAATGATAGAKACMTKTGAWWAMACCTTGGACAATTATTCAMATGTCTCTATCATTGCAAGCTCACCGTTCGTCTCGCTTCGATGCAAAGGCACGGCTACCTTTCAAGATGGCGCAGGGAACTGTGAAAGGGACTATTGATCCAAATAATGGGGCGTTTTTCTATTTTTGTTTAAGGTGTTGAAAAAGGTCTCTATCATTGCAAGCTCACCGTTCGTCTCGCTTCGATGCAAAGGCACGGCTACCTTTCAAGATGGCGCAGGGAACTGTGAAAGGGACTATTGATCCAAATAATGGGGCGTTTTTCTATTTATATCGTCGCACTTGGTCCTCAACTCTTTTCGAATGAAGAGAAAAAATTCTCCCTTCTTTAGAGCCCGTTGTCATTCCACCCCCACCCCTCTCCCCAAATGTGCATTGACTTACATCAGATGCTCTTGGGCCAATGTAGTCAAAGGTTGTCGGGTAAGAAATAAGAACTTGACTGAGATATGCTGCATCGCCAGCTTTGTTTTTCACCTCAACAACCAGCGTCACCTCTTGCACAGTACCTATGTGTATTTCTTTTAGATTCCTATAAAGAATTCAAACACAAACCTAACATTTTCTGCGAATAAAGCTAGAAAATAAAGTGGAGTGGAGTGGAGTGGAGTGGAGTGGAGTGGAGTGGAGTGGAGTGGAGTTAATTACCCTGGTATCACTAGGTTGCCCGTTACACTCAAGTCTGGTTTACAGATATCACTCCCACATTGTTTTTGGAACGTTGCCTAAAAAGAAGGAAAAGAAATACGTAACTAAAAAAACAAATGAATCAGTAAAAGTAAATAAAGACAGACAGACAGACAGACAGACAGCAATGTGTAGGTAATTTAATGGTAGCTTGGGTGGCGTATGCTGCTAACGCGTCGTCTTTCGTCACTGTGGTTTTAAAGGTTCGGGTCTTTGGTTCGAGCCGTGCGCCATGTGTGAATTGAGTTTGTTTGATGTGTTCTTTACTCCTATGCTACGAGGGTTTTCTCCAAGTTCTCCAGTTTCCTCCCTCCATAAAAATCAACATGTTAGTTGAGCGCTGTGTGCATAGAGTATTTAATGTGGTGGTATAGTGCGACTGAATAGGGGGAAAATTGGAAACCAGTCCTTAACGCTGTATGTGACACCCACTTAAAACAAAGATTATTCATTTATGTACAGTAAGCCAGACAAACAAACAAAGACGAACAAACGAAAATTAAATGTAAGGATGGATTCAACTTACAACTGCTCGAGTAAGTTTGGATTTGTAGGAATTGAGGACAGGGCACAGAACTTTACCACAAGGAGTGTCAGCGAGATCGAATGACAGGTCAAACGTCAACACACTCAAGAGGTCTACGATGCGATCTTTTTCCTGAAACGGTATGAAGGAACAATGAAATCACATCTTTAGTAGCACAGAGTTGAATAAAGATTGTGTCCATAACTCTCCTTAGAGAAGTGAAGACGATGGGTTGTCTGGTTGATGTGAAACTGATAAAAAAACCTTTGCAATTGCGGTGTGATTGCACAGCTGATCCTCCTTTGTGGATACAAAGTGCAAGGGCAATCCTGCAGAATTAGGACCGAGATCTACAACATATTGCCTAACAACTTCCATTGTATAAGCAAGTCTACGAAGCTCCTAAAACACAGCCAGGATATAACGCGCGCTATTATTGGTTAATGCGCGTGGTGCGGATGATCCAATCAAGGGAGCACGTTAAGATTTTGATTGTGTTGGTTTATCTTCGATTTTATCGCACGTATTCTAAGATATAGCAGGAGTTCCTTGTAGTTCTTGTTTACGTGCGCGCTATACTTCATGGCAGGCGTTCCTTGCTTAAGTCGGGCTAGCGAATTTACTCCGAAAACCGACGAATATTTTGCGAGGAGCGTAAGCCATTCGGATCTGCCGAAACCAAAACACTACGAGGAACGCCTGTCACAAGATGGATTGCGCGCTAGATAGATCAACCAAGAACAATGACTTTCCTTACACAAACAAAATTTTAATGTGCTCCCTTGATCCAATGGACTTCTTCGACGATCGGTGGCCATCTTGGATTACAATTCTCGATGGTAAACGCTAACGTGATTGAGTAGTTGAGTAGCGCGCGTATTCAATGACAAGTGGTAATAAACGGGAAAAAATATTACACCCAAGGTAAACATGTCGACTATGGTCAAAGAAAAAGCTGTCATTCATGACTTCGATTGAAAACGTTGTCGTCGTCAGTCGCGCCCGGTGTTAAGCCTTCAAGAATTCTCTACCTACCCTCAGATGTACAGTATATGGTGATAAACAGACTCGCTCTTGGCTTTTAAAAGGCATGAGTCGTTGTCGGCTTGCAACGAAGCTTTTCTGGTCGTTTTTGTAGAAGTACATTCGCTTTAATGCATCGGATCCCTTATCTCTGTCAAGCTCGACCTTGTAGGAAATATTAAGATCTGAAAGACAGATGTCATAGCCATGCTTACTCTTCACGTCACAACCGAATGATGGATGAATTTAGAACTTTACTCGTCCTACTTGTCGTCGGGTCAGGTATTTTCTAAGCACGTTCTGGGAATATTGAATTCGTGCATCCCAGCGATCCAATTCCCAATAGCATCGAGACGAAGTAGATGTTAAGCTGTCTTGGAAATACTTTGATTTACGTCTACCAAAACCCTTTATTTTGCGATTGCAATGCGAATCCGTGCGTGATATTGAGAATAGCTGCAACTTGGGGATGTTTTTTAGGTTCGGTTCGACCACTCAAGACCCCCTCCCCTCCCACCCTAGAGAAAATCCTGGATCCGCACCTGATCCACATATCAATGACTCGTACAGGGAATCAAAGCTCTAGTAATGTTTTATTGTACTAACCTGTACGCTGTGTTTCTAGGTTTCTGAAGCACACAGTTACATTTAGACTGGAAGACAGAAGAGCCAAAGTACATTACAAATTATTACTAAACAATGACACAAAGCATGGATACAAAAGGGAACGAGAGAAACAAAATTTGCCACGTAATGTCTTCAGCACAAGCTCTTTTAAAAAAACCTTGCCAAATAGAAATCTCAACCCCTTCGCATGCAGAAGAAAAGACAGAGAGGCATGGTACGACACAGCAGAGCAAATTTTGTATGACTGTAAAATAGCTCAACTCAATTTAGCCAGTGCGAAATTACCGGTAACCGTGCCGTGTTTCGGGCATTTGATTGGATTGCAATCTTATTGGTCTGGCGTATGCCTTGCCGTGTCACGACCGTGTTCGTGAGGTGAACTCATCACAGTCATACGAAAAATGCTCTACCTTGGACACGGCATGGTACGACAGAACAGATTTCGTATGATTGTAAAATAGCTCAACACACTTTTATCGTGAGCACGGCACGGCACGGTACGGCAGAACAGATTTCGTATGACTGTAAAATAGCTCAACACATTTTTTAAGTGTACGAGGTTACCGGTTAACTTGGA